CGTAACTAAAAGTTACCATATTCTCAAGGTGCAAATATACAAAAGGTATAATGTAATTTCCTTGCTGTTGGGTGACAAAGAAAGATCCAGATATTTGTGAAAAAGTAAGATTTGCTCTTTAAAGACCCCAAGATCTAGTATCTCTGTGAAGACACAGTATTTTATATTGCCTTTGAAACTCTGAAATTCTCTGAGAATCATCAAAATATTATAGTTCGTTGACTCTAGGATCTTTGTTTTATGCTTTACTGCCTGACATTCAGATGAGTTTGGCCACCATACCCTGTTTTAGTTAATTGGCAACTTTCCATCCCACATTCCTGGTGGTACATTAGTATATCTATGACTTCTTAGATTAAATATGCTGTTCCTTAGTTCAATACATAATTACATAAATGAATCTGGCATTTAAATCTTGATAATTTTCCCAATTGAAAATAAAGCTAGGAAAAAATATATTTTGCCTTTTAAATTGTAGTATCACAAAGGGTTAGAAGAATGACTTTTTAGATTGGGCTGCTGTTCTGTCACAACAGCACAAAATTTATTTCATGCACCTGGGCTTTGTTTCCTCATCTTCAACACGAGAAAGTGCTCTTAGGTGATTTGAAGTCTTCCAGCCAAAAAGGAAGGTGATGACTTTATTTTATGTTATCTATTTTTTGTGCTAGCTACTGGGGCTTAAACTGAGAACCCGGGTACTGTTTCTAAGCTTTTTCCTTCATGGCTGGTGCTCTCTCACTTAAGCCAAAGCTTTGCTCCAGCATTTTGGTGGTTAATTGGAGATAAGAGTCTCATAGACTTTCTTGCCCAGGCTGGCTTTAAACCATGATCCTCAGATCTCAGCTTCCTGAATAGCTGGGATTACAGGTATGAGCCACTGGCATCCAGCTGAGAAGATGATTTTAAAATCTTGCATGCTGAGAGTATGTGTCGCTGTGGAAATTTCAGTCTTGCTTCCAAAGCCTAAGCCACCTCTTCCACAGCTGATGGCTCAGCATCCTCTGCAGCTGCCTCTGCGCCTTCAAGTGCCAATACTCAGGGATAGTTCTGCTTCCAACTAGGAAAGAGAACTCATCCACAACTTGACTAACTGGCTGAGGAAGGAATAATTCTTCAGTCTAGGGCAATTCTGTAAACTTTGCCAAACAATTATAGAGCTTTACTAACAAGTTGAACTCAATGTCTACAATAAATTTAGCATATCAAAAAATTACAGCAAGGGTTCACATCAAAGTCTTCATGATTTGGCTAAGATTCTGCTGCTCTGCCTGTCTCTTTCTGTGCCACAGAAGCACCAAATGGAAAAGGCTTTCTTTTCTGAAAGAAAAAAACAAAGAAATTGTATTAGAACATTCATATCATCACCCACTCTTATCCTGCGAATGCATTCAGACAATGTAAACGTGCTTGCCCAAATAGTGAAAAATGAATAATTCCACGTGATGACAAATGACAAATGAGATAATTATGGAAGTTTCTTAAGATGAATGACACATATTTATATTTTTGATACTCCTTTTTATTTTTGTCTGGTACTAGGGCTTGAACTCGACCTTGAGCTTCTGCTTAGTTTTTTTTCTCAAGGTTAATGATTTACCACTTAAGCCACAGCCCTACTTTCCTTTTTTTTCTGGTTAATTGGAGATAAGATTCTCTTGAATTTGTCTGACCAGGTTGAATTCAAACCAGGATTCTCAGATCTCAGCCTCTTGAGTAGCTATAGTTATAAGCATGAGTTATGCCGGTATCTGGTATGATACACATTTTTAAATTCAAAAATTATAAACTGTCTTTATCTAAACATATTAGGATTCAAAACTAGAATAGCAGCTAAAATTCAACAACTGTAATACCCATTGCAAATTCCTAAATATTACTATTTAAATTTCAAAGCTAAGATTCACTCAAACATTTTAAATATCATAATTGTTCAACTAAATTATTATTTGTGTGTGTGCTACAGGTGCTGAGGCTTGAACTTAGGACCTGGATATTATCTCTGAGCTTCTTTTGCTCAAGGCTAGTGCTCTGTGCTCTACTACTTGAGCCACATTGCAACTTCTGGCTTTTTCTGAGTAGTGTTTTGGAGATAAGAGTCTCACAGGCTTTTCTGCCTTGGCTGGCTTTGAAGCACCATCCTCAGATCTCAGCCTCCTCAGTAGCTAGGATTACACATGGGAGCCACCAGCACCCTGGCTAGTTCAACTAAATTATTAACTAACCAAATCAAGGCTCTTTTCTCTGAAATTCATCCAAATATGTATGTATATATTAAGCCTCTATTCATTGAGCTGGTACAGTAAGATTAGAGAGAGTTAGCTGAAGTAAATGTATGGCACTAGCACCACACATTCACATATCCAAGAATTCATTTTCTTGGGCTCTGGGGAGTCCAAATGCTAGTTCCTAGCATGTATGCTTTATCCATATAGGAAACAAAGGTAATAAAACTCATTTGCACCATGTCCAGAGAGCAGGTTTTACCTCTGAATTCCAATCACTGATTGACTTGCCATATCCACGCTCTGAATCTAATCAGGGCTTTATCCCTTCTCTCTGAGAAACAGAGCAAGGTTTTTGAAGAAGAAATTGTAAGTACATGAAAAAACAATTCTTGGAGGTCAGAAAGACGTATCTAGTTAGAGAACAGAAGATTTTGTCTTCAGTTTGCTCACCTTTTACAGCAAAGTTACTTACATATTATATTTCTTTTTCTTCATGTGTGTTTGTGTGTGTGTGTGTGTGTGTGTGTGTGTGTGTGTGTGTGTGTGTCTCCGTCATGGTGCCTGAACTCTGGGCCTGGGTACTGTCACTCGGCTCTTTAGCTCAAGGCTAGCACTCTACCACTTGAGCCACAATGCCACTTCTGGCTTTTTCTGCTTATGTAGTGCTAAATCGAACCCATGGCATCATGCATGAAAGGCAAGCACTCTACCACTGAGCTACCTTCCCAGCCCCCATATCATATTTCTTAAATTTGTGTTTGACATAAACTGATACTAGCTGATTTATTTTTATCTAGTAAAAACTATGTGGCACATGTCCTATTTTAACTAATTGCTATAAGTTAAAATATAGGTGCTTTGAATAGTGAAGTAAAGTTTGATGTGCTAACACTGTAGGAAATCACCATGGGAAACCTATTGGGTTTCAGTTATGAAATCAAACACTACAGTCAATGTCATCAACAGGAATCCAGGAAGGGTGGGGAAGAGGCTATTCCAGTTCTCCTATGACTTCTGGCATCCCAGTCACCACTTCCTGTAACTCCTAGAAACTCACAGCATCAGGAAAATACAAAACTTCAAAACTTTTCTTGGAGCTGGGCACCAGTGGCTCATGCCTGTAATCCTAGCTACTCGGGAGCTGAGATCTGAAGATTGTGGTTCAAAGCCAGCCCAGACTAGAAAAGTCTGTGAAACTCTTATCTCCAATTAACCACCAGAAAACCAGAAGTGGTATTGTGGCTCAAGTGGTATAATGCTCACCTTAAGCTGAAGAGCTCAGGGACAGTGCCTAAGCCCAGAGTTCAAGCCCCGCTACCAACAAAAAAAAAAATTTTTTTTATTTGTGTGTGTGGGTACTAAGGCTTCAACTCAGGACCTGGACACTGTCTCAGCCTTTTCTTTTTTTTTCTTTTTTTTCTTTTTTTTTTTTTGTTGGTTGTGGGACCTGAACTCTGGGCCTGGGCGCTGTCCCTCAGCTCTTCAGCTCAAGGCTAGCATCCTACCATTTGAGCCACAGCACCACAGCACTGAGTGGTTTATTGAAGATAGGAGTCTCATGGACTTTCCTGCCCTGGCTGGCTTTGAACCAAGATCCTCAGATCTCAGCCTCCTGAGTAGCTAAGATGACAGGCATGAGCCACTGGCGCCGGCCGTCTCAGCTTTTTCTAACACTTTGCTTTTTCTCAGTGTTTTACCATTTGATCCATACCTCTACTTCCAGATTTTTTGGTAGTTAACTGGAGATAAGAGTCTAACAATTTTCCTGCCTGAGCTGCCTTTAAACCTCGATCCTCATATTTCAGCCTCCTGATTAGCTAGGATTACAGACATGAGCACTTGGGCTCAAAACTTTTAGTTAAACAAGTAACACATTCTCATCGTGGGCAAATTAGAAAACAGGAATTTTTTTAAAAAATAATAATATTAGGAATATTCTTTCAGACTTTTTCTTTGCTCATGTATGCCTAGATAATTTCACCAAGCATTTCATTTATTGTGTTACTTTGGCCTCACATTGGTGAAGAATGACTTTGACTTGGGGCATATTCAAAGTGCCTGAGTGCCAAAGAGACCAGCTATCATTTGATGATCTTTGAAGGCTCATTTGGCAGAGTAGTGTTGAGTTCTCTTCCAAGAATTCTGTGGCTTGCTACTTCCGAGCAGGAACAATTTGGCACAGGATGGCCCCTGTGATGTATTTGGTAGTATTTGTGATATTATTCATTTTATTTTCACTGACTTTTTACTTTGCCCTTTTAGGGAAGCAGGAATACACTAAAGACTAAATGACTGAGTAAGACCCATGTATGTTTTGTTTGTGAGCATGCCTAAATAGAGGCGTGTAATGGCTACCAAAAGATCTTAACATCTAGCAGAGACTCAGAGAGTAATGAAAGGAAAATACCTTCCTTTATATAAATATGGAACAAGCCCAGTGCTGGTGGCTCATGCCTGTAATCCCAGCTATTCAGGAGGCTGAGATCTGAGGATCATGGTTCAAAGCCAACCCAGGCAGGAAAGTCCATGAGACGCTGATAAACCACTCAGAAAAAGGCAGAAGTGGTGGTGAGGCTCAAGTGGTAGAATGCTAGCTTTGAGCACAGAGAGGCTCAAGAACAGAGCCCAGGCCCTGAGTGCAAGTGACAGGACAAGTAAAAAAAAAAAAAAACAAAACAGTATGGATCAGTCTCCAGTCATCTTTCAGTTGTAGGACCCAGAGATCCTGAAAGGGCATCATCTCTACCAGAATGCTGAGTCATAAAGAAACTTCTAAGGCTTCAGAAATATGACCATAAGTTCAACTTGATTATGTGAAAGTTCAAAGTTCTTACCATTGATGTTACTGATAGAGCAAACTGTAGTCATCGACCAAAGAATAATCAGGGTCACCTACAAAACGAAGAACATAGCACTAAGCTATTTTTTATAATTAAATCTTAGTCCTTTCAAACCTGGTCATTCCACTTAAAGATTTGGATGACTGGCCTTTTTTTTTTTTTTTTTGGTCCGGTCATGGGGCCTGAAGTCTGGGCCTGGGCGCTGTCCCTCAGCTCTTCAGCTCAAGGCTAGCGCTCTACCATTTGTGCCACAGTGCCACTTCCGGCTTTTTTCTTATGTGGTGCTGAAGAATCGAACCCAGGGCCTCAGGCATGCAAGGCAAGTGCTCTACCACTGAGCCACCTTCCCAGCCCATTGGATGACTGGCCTTTTATAAGGATAAAAATATATGTGGCACCAAAACCTATCATTAGTTGTCATGACTACAAGCCAGAGAACATTCTAGAAAATGCTCTTAAGATTTCTTTGCTCTTTTTTATCCAGGCCCAGACAGTAACATCTGTAGTGATTTTCAAAACTAAATAAAAGTGAAGTCCATATTATCTAGTAGTAATTATAAACTGACACAGAACAATTTAAACCATCCTATCATCCAAAAAAGATATACAGCTGGCGCCGGTGGCTCACACCTATAATCCTAATAGGAGGCTGAGATCTGAGGATCATGGTTCAAAGCCAGCACCCAGATTCTTATTTGTTTGTTTGTTTGTTGGTCATGTGGCCTGAACTCTGGGCACTGTCCCTCAGCTCTTCAGCTCAAGGCTAGAGCTCTACCACTTGAGCCACAGCGCTACTTCGGGTTTTTCTGCTTATGTGGTGCTAAGGAATTGAACCCAGGGCCTCATGCATGCAAGGCAAGTACTCTACCACTGAGCTACCTTCCCAGCCCCAAGATTCTTATAAGTTTCGTTTGGATTCTCTTGCATAAGCTATAAATACAGAGCATCACTTACCAAATTTCACTCTGTGGTAAAGTATTATAATAAGATTCTAGTAATGCAGGCTCATTCTCTCATTCTTTCTCTTTCCCTCCCTCTCTCTCTCTCTCTCTCTCTGCCTCTCTCTCTCCCTCCTCCCCCCTCTCCTGTTGTAGGGCTGAAAATCAGGGCCTATGTGCTGTCCCTGAGCTCTTTTGCTCTACCACTTTGAGCCACACCTCTACCTCCAGTTTTCTGGAGATGAGTCTCATGGACTTTCCTGCCCAGGCTAGCTTTAAACCACAATTCTCAGGTCTCAGCCTTCTGAGTAGCTAGGATTACAGGTGTGAGCCACCAGCACCAGCTTCAGGTTTGTTCTCTTGAGAATTTGATTCTATTAAGTTCTTTCCCCTTATTTCAAAATTCTAGTTATTCAGGCTGGGAAAGTGGCTCAGTGGTAGAGTGCTTGCCTTGCATGCATGAGGCCCCGGGTTCGATTCCTCAGCACCACATAAGCAAAAAGAAAAAAAAAGCCGGAAGTGGTGCTGTGGCTCAAGTGGTAGAGCGCTAGCCTTGAGCTGAAGAGCTGAGGGACAGCGCCCAGGCCCAGAGTTCAAGCCCCACGACCGACCAAAAAAAAAAAAAAAAAGAAAGAAAGAAAAGTTCTTCCATGAAATCCTATGGGTTTTCCACATGTTTAATAATCATTCAATAGTAAGTGTCCCATCTAAGTGAAGGGAGCTGTTTATAAGGTTGTGCTATCCTGATTTAGTGCTTCTGAGGTCTGGGGGCCCTATTACTATAGCTGTGTACAAGTTAATTCTAGGAATAGTGTTGAAGAAAATATTAAGCTCTTCAGTAATTGCTAGCCCAAGTATGGGTCAGTCTGCTAATACTTGCTGTCTGGAGTCATCTCATCCTAGACTAGAGCCATCTCTGAGACTCATATACATGCTGTGACATCTCTCTCTCCCAAACATTAAACTGCATTGAGGTTCTTTCTCTGTTCTCCTGGACAAACATTATTTTTTTTTTGTCAGTCATGGGTCTTGAACTTTGGACCTGGGTGCTGTCCCTCAGCTCTTTAGATCAAGGCGAGCTCTCTACCACTTGAGCCACAGGGCCACTTCCTGTTTTCTGGGGGTTAACTGAGATAAGAGTCTCATGGACTTTCCTGCCCAGGCTGGCTTTGAACTACGATCCTCAGATCTCAGCCTCTTGAGTAGCTAGGATTACAGGCGTGAGCCACTGGCATCCAGCTTTCACTTATTTTTTAAAGAGATTTTTTGTATTACCAGGAATTTATTGTACAGGGATGGTAGGTTATTGTGACATTTCCACACATGTATATACACCTGTTAACCCCTCTAACACTCTCCATTATCTCCTCTCCCACTTCTTTGTGTGTATGTATATGTGTGTGTATGTATATGCATGTGAACATGCATGCACACACTCGGGCTTGAGCCCAGGACATCATATTCTTGCTTGACTCAGTCCTCAGATTTCAGCTTTTGAGTAGCTAGGATTACAGGCTGGAGCCACTGATGTCCAGGCCTTCCCCTGCTTCTTGAATCAACTCCAACAGTTTCATTATTCTGTTTTCACACATGCATATAAAGTACTTGTGCTTGTGCTACCTTCACACTCATTTACTCTCTTCATTCACTTTCCTCCTCTTGCAGATACCACTCCCTCCTCTCCCCCCGCCCCCCCCCCCGCCCCGGCAAGAGACCCTGTTTTCCTCTCCTCTCAATTTTTTTAAGTGTATATTAGTTGTACCAAGGGGCCTCTGTGGTATTTCAACAAACTATGAATTTCTTAATTAGAAAGTCATGGTGGCGGCTGGGAAGGTGTCTCAGTGGTAGAGTGCTTGCCTTGCATGCATGAGGCCCTGGGTTTGAGTCCTCAGCACCACATAAACAGCAAAAAACAGAAGTGGCACTATGGCTCAAGTGGTAGAGCGCTAGCCTTGAGCTGAAGAGCTGAGGGACAGTACCCAGGCCAGAGTTCAAACCCCACAACCAACCAAAAAAAAAGAAAGAAAAGAAAAGAAAGTCATGGTGGTAGCAGGGCATGGTAGTTACTCCTATAACTCCAGCACTAGTGAAGTACAGGCAAGGAGATTGTGAGTTTGAGGCTGGCCTGAGTTACATAATGAGATCTTGTCAAATAACAAATGAAGAAAGGAAAAAGGACATGAGAAAAGAGAGGAGGAAGAGAGAGAGGAAGAGAGAGAAGAGAGAGAAATAAGGAGAAAATGTAAATGAGTGGGTCATATCATCATATTAAAATGGGCTCGCAGGTTAGGTGTTTGTCTGGGACCTTGTATCATGTCACTTGGCTTAGAGTGACTCATTTAACCTGTTGACTTCAAATAGAAGAGGGGAGCAGGGAGATGATGAACTAATAAGCCTTTGTTGGGTTCTTTCCACTCTAAGGAATCCAGTCACAGTGTCACAATCCTCTGTGGATGCTTCCAACTTACCTCATCGCTTGTGACACACTGTTTTGACAGCTGATTCACATGTAACCACAATGTATTCCGGAAGAAGTTAATTCGTTCACATTCTTGAGCTTCAAACACCTACAGAAAAACAATTACATGAATATACACATGCACTTGTTTACACTGGTTATGACTTAATGTCAACTCCTTATTATCTGCAAGCTGAGTGTCTAATTTAGGGTACTTCCCCCAGCACCAGGGAGAAAGGTGATAAACTCACCACAGACAAAAAGTACAAATGGATTCAAATTTCATATCAACATAAACAGGACTAGATAGAGTTCTTAGGCAAGAGGAAATGATGATCCCAGGAGACAAAGGTCTAACCTGAGTTCCAGCTGATATTTCCAAATGCCTAATGTGCATCTCTGCCCGAATAACCTGCTAGACCATCAGTTTCAACACACTCTCACTCTGGGGTGAACTAATTGTTTTTCTTTTCTTTTCTTTTTTTTTTTTTGCTGGTCCTGGGGCTTGAACTGAGGGCCTGGGTACTGTCCCTGATCTTCTTTTGCTCATCTAGTGCTCTACCCCATAGTGCTATTTCCAGCTTTTTCTGAGTTTGTTGGAGATAAGAGTCTCACAGACTTTTCTGCCCTAGCTGGCTTCTAACTGTGATCCTCAGATCTCAGCCTACTGCGTAGCTAGGATTACAGGTGTGAGCCACCAGCACCCCATCCAGGGTGAAGTAATTTGACTGGCAAGATGATTATGATTATTTAAGCAGTTCAAGAGAACATAGGAGACCTTGTACCTGTTGTTTTATCTTTGTGTATGTTTTAAGTTTTTCCTTAATAAAAAAATAAAAAGTTACTACCTGAATAATAGGTTTTTGGGTTTTTTTTTGTTTTGGGGTTACTAGGCCTTGAACTTAGGGCCTTGTACTCTCACTTATCTGTTTTTACTCTAGGCTGGTACTCTACCGCTTGGGCTATACCTCTTCTTTCAGCTTTTTGATGGTTAATTGGATATGAAGAGTCTCACAGACTTGTCTTTCCAGGGTGGCTTCAAACCACAATCCTCATATCTCAGCTTCTTGAGTAGCTAGGATTACAATCATGAGATGCCAATGCCCAGCTTTGAATGACAGTGTTTTTGAGATGTAAGCAAATATGAGTATTTGAAAACTCAAGCTATTCAACAAAGTGGTTGATAGTCTATTCAATAGTAGATGTTATATATACTAATATATTTTATAATATTGAATACTACAGCATTCACCTTTAATAATATAAAATTTTAAAAGTTTTCAAAATAGGGAGACTAGCATAATGAATCCCTGCCAATGGTTTAAATATTTATCAGTGGGGCTAGGAAGGTGGCTCAGTGGTAGAGTGCTTGCCTTGCATACATGAGGCCCTGGGTTTGATTCCTCAGCACCAAATACACAGAAAAAACTGGAAGTGGTGCTGTGGCTCAAATGGTAGAACACTAGCCTTGAGCTGAAGAGCTGAGGGACAGTGCCCAGGCCCAGAGTTCAGGCCCCATAACACACACACACACACACACACATATATACACACATATACACAGACACACACACACACACATATCAACTCACTGTCCATTCTATTAACTGATATCCCTGCCAACCTACTTCCTACTTCCTGGGCATTTTGAAGCAAATGCATTATTCCACCTGTAAATATTTTACATATAGTTATATACTAAAAAATGTTTACACACTAAAAATTATTTTGGAATATTTCACACAGAATAGGACAATAATATAGTGAATACTCACCAATCACCTAGCTTTACTATTTTCAGCCACTGGTAGGTATCATGGATCACATCTGTACATACCTGTCATCTAAGCACTTAGAAGGCTAAGGTAGGAAGAGTTCAAAGCTACCCTGGGCCACATAGCAAGAGTTTGTCTGAAACTTCCCTTAAATCAAAAATTTTTGGCCGTCCTTGTACCAGATCTTGTTAAAGTCCCTATGTGATTTTCCTGATCTCTGTCACCTTTCCCCCTTCCCCAGAGAAAATCTAAATGTCATCATTTCTATGCAGGTTCTAATAATACCTATGTATCCATGAGAGGTGTGTCATATTGTCTTGTATATTTTTTAAATTTAAAAGGAAATCCTCATCTGAGCCTTTATATGAATTCATATAAAGTTAAGAAAATAAAGTAAAAGGGAATGCTTTCGTGGGGGGGATGGCATCATGGCATAGAGAAATCAAAGGAGAAAAATTAGAAACCACAAAGGCCAGGTGAGTGTGCAGCTCAATAGTAAAGTGCTTCCCTCCCATGCATGCAGCCTGGGTTTTACCATCACCAAGGATAATGAAGAAGCCACAAAGACCCACTAGACCTCACACTGAAGGGTCCCTGGTAGCCCCCAAGAGAGAAGTGAGCTTCTTCAGGGAAGCAAATCTCAGACTGGAAAGGCTGAAATAAGAACTTGGAAATAGGGCTGGGAAGTTGGCTCAGTGGTAGAGCGCTTGCCTTGCATGCCTGAGGCCCTGGGTTCGATTCCTCAGCACCATATAAGCAAAAAGAAAAAGCCAGAAGTGACGCTGTGGCTCAAGTGGTAGAGCGCTAGCCTTGAGCTGAAGAGCTGAGGGACAGCACCCAGGCCCAGAGTTCAGGCCCCATGACCGGACCCAAAAAAAAAAAAAAGAACTTGGAAATAATTCCTTCAAAAGATTAGAACGGGGCCAAGCAACAGTGGCTCATGCCTGTAATCCTAGCTACTCAGGAGGCTGAGAACTAAGGATTGAGTTATAAAGCCAGCCCAGGCAGGAAAAGTCCATGAAATTCTTATCTCCAATTAACCACCAGAAAACTGAAAGTGGTACTATGGCTCAAGTGGTAGAGCAAGAAGCTCAGAGCCAGTGCCCAGGCCCAGAGTTCAAGCCTCATGGCTGATAAAAATAAAATAAAAGATTAGAATGAGGCTAGGAATGTAGTTCAGTAGAGTGGGCACGTATAATTTTTACTTTGTTTTGAGACAAACTGGCCTCTTATTTGTGGGCCTTCCTGCCTGAGCCTCCACAGTGCTCCAGTTCCAGTGGTGTGCCATGACACCCAGTGATCTGATGGGCTGGGAGGATAACAGCTGTTGATGTTCAGGGAACTGTGCCCTAGAGAGCAGGAAAAGGCCAGCTAGATGGGATACGAGCTTGCTAGATGGAAAGAGCCCAGTTTTCTACTCTCAGAGGAGAGAGGGGCCCTGTGAACTAGTGGTTCTCATTCTCCAATGCACAGAGATTGCTGGGCCCCCACTCCCACAGTTCCTGACTCTGGAGTTCTGTGGTTGAGTTGAGAATATTCATCTCTAACAAACCTCCAGTTAATGCTGCTTCTGTTACTCCTGGGGCCATGGAGTAGTCATTAGAAAATGTGTAGACATGGTAACAGAAACTTGAGGAAGTTACCAAATTATTCTAAGTTCCTCTGGGAAATCGTGAGGTTATATCCAGAAAACAAAAGGGCTAGTAGTGAAATAGATGGGAAGAGAATTTTAAAAACAAACACCTAAAAACCAACATTCCAAAGCCTACATTTCCTCTCTTCTAACCTAGCAAGTACAGGCAAGGTTCTCAAAGGTAATTACTGTGTGCATCCCACCACTAACTGATTCGGCTGGTTCAGGCCTGCCTAATCAAACATTACACTAAAATGGACACAGTGGTACAGTGTGATCTGGATGGAGAAGAGGCAGAAAGATGAAGTTTGGAGGGGGGGGGGAAGTATTCAAGTTACCTGAAGTTTTTCACTTAATTTCCTGATTTCTAACTTACTCTCAAGCTCCTTAACAAATGAGAAGCGGGACACTAAAATATGAGAGCAGGGCAGGGTACTAAGAAATAGGTGCACAGGGCTGAAGTCCTGGGTCCCAAACCCCATCCCACCATTCTGAGCTGCTTCCAGTTCCAAGTACCTCACAGGCCTTGATGTGCTCGCTCTGCCAGTCTTCTCGGATCTTGTCCAGTGTGTTGATGTGCTGCATGTACGCTTTGTCTGCAGTGGAAGGGAGGGGCCTGGGTTCAGAAACTAGACAGTTGGTCAGAGTTGTGGTAAACTCACAAGGCCCCCACAGAGCTCTGAACAATGTTAGAAAGGCATAATTCCTTCCTTCTCCCTACTTTGTATCCATACACTCTTTGCTAGTTTTCAGGATAATAGATTTAGGATAAGGTAAGCCACCACCACCCCTCCCCCAATCATGGCAGCAAACCCTCACCTGAGTCTTCCACTGCAGTCTTTGAAGTCGCCAGTTTCACAAAAAGCTGTGAGAATACAACATAGCAAGAAAGCAGATGAGCCAGGCTTACATGAGTAAAACCCATGTAAAAGCAGTGACTATGGAGAGACAAGTTCTAGTCCAAGTCCAGACTAGGTTTCTCTCAAAAGTAAATCATTGCCTTTAATTTTCTCACCATTAGAAAACAGTCATAGAGCATCTTGCCGTATGTCTTCATAAACACACCCCTGCCTCTGATTGTTAATAATCTTATATTCAGATCTTATAATATTAAATTTACAATCCTCCCATGAAAAGGCAATCTGACAACAAAGAATACATGAGGTTTGAAAACACGTTAAAGAAAAAAGCAGATCTCTTATATGTCACCCCATATGCCTCAACCAGACATGATTTCCCTAACCCCAAAAATATGACAATAGTTTTTCTGGTTCACAGGACTCAAATATCCTGAATGGAGATATTACCATAGGCTTTGGTCCATGTGCATGTGTGTGTATGTGCGTGTGCACGTGCATGCATACATGTTGTGGACATTTTCTGGGGCTTGAACTCAGGGCCTGGGTGCTGTACCTGAGCTTTTGTGCTTAAGGCTACTACCACTTGGGCCACAACTCCTTTGGCTTTTTTGGTGATTAACTGGAGATAAGATTATGAGGACTTTCCTGCCTGGGCTGGCTTTGAACCGTGATTCTCAGATCTCAGCCTCCTCAGAAGCAACTGGCACCTGGCCATGTCCATTTTATAATTAAGATTCTTAGTTACACCCGGGTGTCAGTGGCTTACACCTATAATCCTAGCTACTCAGGAGGCTGAGATCTGAGGATCACGGTTCAAAGCCAGCCCAGGCAGGAAAGTCTGTGAGACTCTTATCTCCAATAATAGAAACCAGAAGTGGTGCTGTGGTAGAGCACTGAAGAACTCAGGGACAGCCCAGGCCCAGAGTTCAAGCCCCACGACCGACCAAAAAAAAAAAAAAAAAGAAAGAAAGAAAAGTTCTTCCATGAAATCCTATGGGTTTTCCACATGTTTAATAATCATTCAATAGTAAGTGTCCCATCTAAGTGAAGGGAGCTGTTTATAAGGTTGTGCTATCCTGATTTAGTGCTTCTGAGGTCTGGGGGCCCTATTACTATAGCTGTGTACAAGTTAATTCTAGGAATAGTGTTGAAGAAAATATTAAGCTCTTCAGTAATTGCTAGCCCAAGTATGGGTCAGTCTGCTAATACTTGCTGTCTGGAGTCATCTCATCCTAGACTAGAGCCATCTCTGAGACTCATATACATGCTGTGACATCTCTCTCTCCCAAACATTAAACTGCATTGAGGTTCTTTCTCTGTTCTCCTGGACAAACATTATTTTTTTTTTGTCAGTCATGGGTCTTGAACTTTGGACCTGGGTGCTGTCCCTCAGCTCTTTAGATCAAGGCGAGCTCTCTACCACTTGAGCCACAGGGCCACTTCCTGTTTTCTGGGGGTTAACTGAGATAAGAGTCTCATGGACTTTCCTGCCCAGGCTGGCTTTGAACTACGATCCTCAGATCTCAGCCTCTTGAGTAGCTAGGATTACAGGCGTGAGCCACTGGCATCCAGCTTTCACTTATTTTTTAAAGAGATTTTTTGTATTACCAGGAATTTATTGTACAGGGATGGTAGGTTATTGTGACATTTCCACACATGTATATACACCTGTTAACCCCTCTAACACTCTCCATTATCTCCTCTCCCACTTCTTTGTGTGTATGTATATGTGTGTGTATGTATATGCATGTGAACATGCATGCACACACTCGGGCTTGAGCCCAGGACATCATATTCTTGCTTGACTCAGTCCTCAGATTTCAGCTTTTGAGTAGCTAGGATTACAGGCTGGAGCCACTGATGTCCAGGCCTTCCCCTGCTTCTTGAATCAACTCCAACAGTTTCATTATTCTGTTTTCACACATGCATATAAAGTACTTGTGCTTGTGCTACCTTCACACTCATTTACTCTCTTCATTCACTTTCCTCCTCTTGCAGATACCACTCCCTCCTCTCCCCCCGCCCCCCCCCCCGCCCCGGCAAGAGACCCTGTTTTCCTCTCCTCTCAATTTTTTTAAGTGTATATTAGTTGTACCAAGGGGCCTCTGTGGTATTTCAACAAACTATGAATTTCTTAATTAGAAAGTCATGGTGGCGGCTGGGAAGGTGTCTCAGTGGTAGAGTGCTTGCCTTGCATGCATGAGGCCCTGGGTTTGAGTCCTCAGCACCACATAAACAGCAAAAAACAGAAGTGGCACTATGGCTCAAGTGGTAGAGCGCTAGCCTTGAGCTGAAGAGCTGAGGGACAGTACCCAGGCCAGAGTTCAAACCCCACAACCAACCAAAAAAAAAGAAAGAAAAGAAAAGAAAGTCATGGTGGTAGCAGGGCATGGTAGTTACTCCTATAACTCCAGCACTAGTGAAGTACAGGCAAGGAGATTGTGAGTTTGAGGCTGGCCTGAGTTACATAATGAGATCTTGTCAAATAACAAATGAAGAAAGGAAAAAGGACATGAGAAAAGAGAGGAGGAAGAGAGAGAGGAAGAGAGAGAAGAGAGAGAAATAAGGAGAAAATGTAAATGAGTGGGTCATATCATCATATTAAAATGGGCTCGCAGGTTAGGTGTTTGTCTGGGACCTTGTATCATGTCACTTGGCTTAGAGTGACTCATTTAACCTGTTGACTTCAAATAGAAGAGGGGAGCAGGGAGATGATGAACTAATAAGCCTTTGTTGGGTTCTTTCCACTCTAAGGAATCCAGTCACAGTGTCACAATCCTCTGTGGATGCTTCCAACTTACCTCATCGCTTGTGACACACTGTTTTGACAGCTGATTCACATGTAACCACAATGTATTCCGGAAGAAGTTAATTCGTTCACATTCTTGAGCTTCAAACACCTACAGAAAAACAATTACATGAATATACACATGCACTTGTTTACACTGGTTATGACTTAATGTCAACTCCTTATTATCTGCAAGCTGAGTGTCTAATTTAGGGTACTTCCCCCAGCACCAGGGAGAAAGGTGATAAACTCACCACAGACAAAAAGTACAAATGGATTCAAATTTCATATCAACATAAACAGGACTAGATAGAGTTCTTAGGCAAGAGGAAATGATGATCCCAGGAGACAAAGGTCTAACCTGAGTTCCAGCTGATATTTCCAAATGCCTAATGTGCATCTCTGCCCGAATAACCTGCTAGACCATCAGTTTCAACACACTCTCACTCTGGGGTGAACTAATTGTTTTTCTTTTCTTTTCTTTTTTTTTTTTTGCTGGTCCTGGGGCTTGAACTGAGGGCCTGGGTACTGTCCCTGATCTTCTTTTGCTCATCTAGTGCTCTACCCCATAGTGCTATTTCCAGCTTTTTCTGAGTTTGTTGGAGATAAGAGTCTCACAGACTTTTCTGCCCTAGCTGGCTTCTAACTGTGATCCTCAGATCTCAGCCTACTGCGTAGCTAGGATTACAGGTGTGAGCCACCAGCACCCCATCCAGGGTGAAGTAATTTGACTGGCAAGATGATTATGATTATTTAAGCAGTTCAAGAGAACATAGGAGACCTTGTACCTGTTGTTTTATCTTTGTGTATGTTTTAAGTTTTTCCTTAATAAAAAAATAAAAAGTTACTACCTGAATAATAGGTTTTTGGGTTTTTTTTTGTTTTGGGGTTACTAGGCCTTGAACTTAGGGCCTTGTACTCTCACTTATCTGTTTTTACTCTAGGCTGGTACTCTACCGCTTGGGCTATACCTCTTCTTTCAGCTTTTTGATGGTTAATTGGATATGAAGAGTCTCACAGACTTGTCTTTCCAGGGTGGCTTCAAACCACAATCCTCATATCTCAGCTTCTTGAGTAGCTAGGATTACAATCATGAGATGCCAATGCCCAGCTTTGAATGACAGTGTTTTTGAGATGTAAGCAAATATGAGTATTTGAAAACTCAAGCTATTCAACAAAGTGGTTGATAGTCTATTCAATAGTAGATGTTATATATACTAATATATTTTATAATATTGAATACTACAGCATTCACCTTTAATAATATAAAATTTTAAAAGTTTTCAAAATAGGGAGACTAGCATAATGAATCCCTGCCAATGGTTTAAATATTTATCAGTGGGGCTAGGAAGGTGGCTCAGTGGTAGAGTGCTTGCCTTGCATGCATGAGGCCCTGGGTTCGATTTCTCATCACCACATAAGCAAAAAGAAAAAAGCTGGAAGTGGCACTGTGGCTCAAGTGGTAGAGCGCTAGCCTTGAGCTGAAGAGCTGAGGGACAGCACCCAGGCCCAGAGTTCAGGCCCCAAAACCGGGCCCCCCCAAAAAATTCTAGTTATTCAACCATAAATAAAACCTAAATTAAGAATTCAAAAAAGCCTTTCTAATGACATACCTGGTAAATTTTTAGGAATTGGGAGAGGTCCTCTCCTGTAAGAAAGAAAAAGACCTTCAGATAAGTTCTTGTGTTTATAATGTTCTACTCCATGTTACAAGCATATTCTACTGTAATCAGCTCTGGTTTCTACACTAGAGGGTTAAGAAGGGTCAGATGACTGATGCCACTGATCTGCAGTCCCAACCTGTTGAAATCTAAGGATCAGAAATCACAAGATACTGACCATACTGGTCAGGGGCACAGAGCACTTCCCCCATAGCCCAGTCTGGCATGACTAAAATCTCAGCACGAAATCTCCTCCTTCATCCACACATTCCTTTGCAGAATGCGAAACACAAACAGATCCTGCCTTGTTGTGTTCATTCATATTAACCGTTTTTGAATAGTGCCTGGCATTCCTAAATTTTGATGGTAAACACATAATCCCTCTCAAACACTTTCCATCTTTCCTAAAACTGAATGGAAAATTCAACAGCTTAAACTGCTGCTGACTTTATGTGAAAGAGAAGTTTCTCTTCCTTCAAGATTCTTTATAGCAGAATGCTTATGTCTCTAATCCTAGCTACTCAGGAGGCTGAGATCTGAGGATTGTAGTTCAAAG